AATATAATCATAAAAGAGTCAAGGAAATAATCATTCCTCTTCCATTTCCTTCACTGAAAATAAAACTAAAATAAAATAGTTCCATAATATGTCCTACATATCTTAATGTATGATATAAAATCTATCCATCCAAATCATCCTTCTAACTAGAATCTATATTCAAAAATGGGATGAATACTTCTATTTTCCAATCCATTAACCCATGAGGGAGTGAAAAAATAACAATATATTATTTATTTTTTTATTGATGTACTTAATAATTATGGGAATAGGATACCATATTGTGGTGAGCAAAGCTGGAGGGAAAAGAAAAAACACTGATAGAAAGCTATATCATATACATTAAAATCTAACAACTTCCAATGACTATTGAATATGCAATCTCAAACATGTTGTTGAGGTTGCTGGCTTTATAACCAACTCTATGGTTTGCCACAGTCTGAGCTGCAGTGAAATTGAGAAATATTTTCCTGGCAGGCCATCTGAAGTCAGCCACAAGTAAACATACCAATCCACTTTCCGCAGGTGCTAATAATACCTTTCATATAGGAGAGTGACTGAAGTACTTTTCACTTGGCTATTGCCCAGTAATAAAAATGTCAGGATGTTTTAGGTTCAAGGTATAAATGGTCCTTTGAGTTTTCCTCATTTGATGTGCAGTGATAAAGGGAAGAGCGAACTGTATTCCAGTTCTCATTGGCACTCTTTCTAACAAAACCCCTCACACTCAGGTCAAAGTACTGTGTCAGTTTCACTACCACAACTCTGTGCATTTTGAAGAGTTTTTCTGTTGTGGTGAGCAGTGCCAAGACTGCAATGTGACTTGACATACTTTTTTCCTGAACCATTTCAATCATTTAATTCTTTGACTTATGATTGAAATTAGCTGCTGTCATCTGAAATTAATGTAGCATACTTAAGTCAATCTTGAGTGCTTCATAATTCAACTGCATCCCCCTCCAAGCAGACCCTGCATAGTTATATCACAATGACTCTTGCCATTCCACAGAACCTTCTTCACTCATTTCCTCTTTTTCAAGTCAGTTTTCTTCTTGTGGCAGTTCAAATTTTTTTTTACAAAAAGTAATGTTATAATAACTAGCCTTGTAAGGGCATAAATGTCTGCTGCCAAAAAGAAATTTGATATGGTCTATGTCCTCTTTTGTGCCAATTATCACCAGGGTTGGCCACAGCAAACATCAGACTCATCAGGCACGAGATCCAATTCCACTCCAAAGGAGATTTTCTGTATCATTTCTTTTTCTTTATCAGTTGCTTTCATTGTCACAAAATTAGACTCACATACAACAGTGTGAATCTGGTGTTTAGCAATGCACACCATTTTTCTGCTTCTGAATATGCTATATCAATTAGTATGTTATTATTGAATAACAACTTGAACAAGTTCACTTATCATTATTTCTTAATCAACAGAACTATTTTTCTTTTTTCTTTTTGAATTGTCAGATAATAAAAGCTTAAATTTCTTACACAATATTTATACCTGTGTCAGCCACACTTTGTCACAGAACACATATATCAATTCATAACAATTACCACAAATCTATATTTTGTACCATTCCTGAAAGATGTTCTACCACCACTGTTTCATCTTCATTGTCTGTGATTTCCATATTCTCAAAAGACAACAAACCTTTCCTTTTCTCTGTCTCTCCACTTGTCGAGCGTCCAGTCAAATATAAAATGGCCCGAATATGCAAGAGAGCTGCTGCGTTTTTGCATCACACTTAGTGCTGCCAGATTTTTACAACCTTAGTTTTCTCAGATCTACTTTTATGGGCTATTTTTTCCTGGCCTGTAGACAATTGCCTATTTTGACATTTCAATATAAAGAAGTGGAAAAATCAGAACACCCAGACAAATTTTGAAACACTATATAAAGAAAGTGGAAAAATTAACAAAAATATTAGTCAACTTTTGCATTCAGTCTTTAGAGTAAAAATGTTGTTGTGTGAATGATGTAAAATATTGTGAAATTTGCACAAGATTCTGATGGACATTTGCTGCTTAATATAATGTTCCCAAGGTATTTTGTAGAAGAAAGAACTTAAGGAATGAAGACGATGCCTTTATAGTATTTTACTTCTTGCTATTACTCTTTTAACCACACAAAGAGACAAAAATTGTCTAAAATTTCATTAGAGTGCTGCCATATGGTTTTAAATAATTTTGCTACAAAGAATAAAATTTAGCTTGCAACCTCCACCTCCACCTCCATCTCCATCATCATCTTCATCATAAAAAAAGTGCTTCTGTTGGGTGTTTATTCATGAACACCCTTTTCAAACTTCTATTTTTCGGAGCATTTATATTTGCTTGCCACATAAAGTATTGTGCATTCCTTTTTTTTGACTGCTTGTTCAATTTCATGATTACCTCTTAAAATCCACTTAAGGATTCAAAACAAAAACGAATAAGTGATCTCTACATAAAATCAGTTCTGAATGCACGGGCTATTAAATAAAGTGCTAATACGATG